TACTTGTGGCAGTAACTGGCTCCCTCTTTTTTTCCTTCCCCTGAAACTTTTTTATCAGCATTATTTGCCAGTTGATACTGCGACAATTTTTCTTTTAGATCACAAGTTTTGATGTCTTTGCTGGAGTTGTGTTTGAGTACACAAAGATTGAATGCTGTTTGAGAAAAAAAAACGCTCATAGAAAATACTCCAGTCTGCATTGGCAAATCATCGTATATACTCCTATTTTTCTTTTTTTGCTGTAACTAAAAATTAGAAAAGTTTGTGTTTTCTTTTATTCCGTGCACTTTCATCAAGTATTTTCCTTTCGTTTATCATCAAGTTTTCTTAATGCAGAATATTTTATGTTGACATGTTTTAAGTTGGAATAGCTAGCAAATGGTTGTAATTTTAATGGTGTTATGGGGATTCCGGATGAGGGTACTGTGGTTAAAAAAGAGTCAAATAAATGTCAACTAATATAAAAAATAATAATAATATCATAGAAATCGCTCACAGCACTTTGTTTGAGTTGATTTTCTTTTTAATATGAAGTATTTTTTATTTAATTGTAATAACACATGCATATTTTCAAGTTTATTTCTAAATTAATTTTAATTTTAGAGAAAGTTTATTGATGTCTGTAATTGCACTGTTCTTTACACTATTTCTACATTTTTATATCTAAAAATTAATCCAAATTAATTGCTATTAATTTTCCATTATCGCTAACCTATTTAATTATTGTTAGGATCGCAGTGTTGCCAACACTGTAGAATTTAATCACAATAATCTGATTTAATACAACTCTGATTTGATTTTACTAATGGCGCGTTTAGACTATGCCTCCTAAATCGACGAACGAAATTCTAGCTGGTTAGACTAGTATAAACATGAAATGAAGTGAATTTGTCAGCTGTTATTATTTTACGTACACATTCCACTGCTGCCATAATTTCGATGGCAAATTTTCAATCAATATTTTCATAATTTTGTTCGGAATAGTTCTCCATTAGGTCAGAAATATAGTAATACTTATTAAAACGGAACGGAATTTTTCATCAGTCACTTATTTTGAATATTGACTAATTTTAAAGCATACATTAAGGAGAAATATTTATTTTTGGTGCAAAATCAGAGTTGTATTTGAAATTATCTCGATTTAGTATAAGATTTCGAGCAAATCGAGATAATTAGTGGATTTAATTAAATATAGATAATGCACATTTAGGCCTAAGGTCATCCTTAAGCTTTGTTAGTTTAATTTTCAAAAAAAAAAAAAATACCCTATAATATTTTTAAAGTGAGTTTGTACTTTCTAGAAAAATAAAACTAGTTGATTTATTAGTCTGAACGCACATTATGAATGCACTATGAGCTGGTTGTTCCTTAAAATGAACTGCTGGAACTACTTTCAGCTTGTTCGTCTATCTAATTCCGCATTTCTTTTTTCACGGTCTCACGGAAAATTTTGCTAAAAATAAACGGACGACTTCCGGTAAAATTCCTTGCAAGATTTATATATATATATATATAAAATTTAATCCACTGGATTTGTGAACATGATTAATCATATACGTTATGGAATTTACATTAAAAATTTACATTAGTCTAAATGCTCATTAGGTATTAAAATGAACTACTGGAACTATTTTCAGCTTATTCGTCTATCTAAATCAACATTTCTTTTGTCCCAGTATCAAGAAAAATTGTGCTAAAAATAAAGAGAGACTTTCGGTAAAATCCAGTCATGAAAAAAGATGATATACGAGATTTGTTTGACAGTTTAAAGCCGAAATACATTTTGAATAACCGATTTTTAGTTGTGAGATTTTTAAATATTGTTGCGTACTGCTGAAATCTCAAAATAGAAAATTATGACCAATTTATATTTAATTTTTTCCATATCTGTTCATATTATCAGCTGATGTTATAAGAAAATCATTGCTGGGTGAATTTTTCTTGTAAGAATTAATAAATGCTCAGTAAAGCAAACTGTCAAGTCTGCTCTCCCAATTCAATCTGGGCTATTTCATAAGCGAACAACATCCAGTAATAATTTGAGTATTATTGAGTACATTCCGTTTATTATGTTCAAACGTTTGGTATTTGAATGAATTTAACTTTTTCTAAATAACCCAACAAATATAAAACTATGTGTCCAAATAATTTTTCTCTGTTCAAAAAAGTGAAAGAATTGTTTACAATTGGAAATTGTTTTTGCAATTTTCATACTGTAAATTTAATTCACAATAATCCAACTGCATATCAGTTGTTTTGATATTTTTCATAGAGAAACCAAATTTTGTTAAAACTTTCAAGTAACTTTAAAACTCACTTCTAGATCTAATTCGTGTCGTAATTTTTTCATTCAAACTGAAAAAAGATTTACTACATTCTCTCGATCTAACCAGATTGTATATGTTTATACTGTCAATTTAATAATAATTCAATTCACAATAATGTATTTGACAGCAAACATAAGAAACAGTTGATTTTCTTATTAATATGCCTTGGTTTAGAATGGTAGATTTGAAATAATAACACGTGTGTGAACTTCTTTTTGTTTCTTAGGTTGATTTCAAATAATTGCTGATTTTAGATTTATTGCACTACGTGGTTTTTGACACTTTATTGTATTGTCTTTATCCATGCGTTAAAAATAAATATATCCACATATTCCGAATCTCTCCATTCTTTCCACTGTAATCAAAAGCATAATATTTTCACCGTCACAAATAATATTTCCAAACTGCAAGTTCATTGCAAATACATACCATATTTTTCAGCTTAAGCATCGCGGATTTGTCATTACCCAAGTGTTTGTTATCATCTTCTTTTTCCACTTTTGTTATTGTTAGAGTTTAAGTTTTGTCATTGAAGTTGTCATTCTTCACGTTATTGTCATAGGATTTAAGAAAACTCTAAAGTAAAATAAAAATGTTCGTCGGTGTGCATTCAACTTCGAAACGACAAATGGTGAAGTTATGAATTTTCCCCTTACAAAAGTGAGTAGAGGAAGTACAGTTAAACCTGAAAATGTTAGCGGCGTTGTTTTTAGGTATTATTTTGATAGCAGAATCTTCTTGATGATAGATGGGGACTAGATCCAGCGATTCGGGTAGAATTGTTAATTGTTTTTAACCAAGTATATCAAAACAAAAACATTTGTGATTTTAGTCGACCATCTGCCAAATTTTGTCTACTAATATTTCTCATGGTTGGCAACATTACACGTCGAATTCAAGTAGAAACTATGCACTTTGACAGGGATAGTCAGCTGCGCAAAACGGAGTATTTATTGTGACTATTTATTGTGCCATGGTTTCCAACGTTTAATAATAATCTAAAGTTAAACCGCGTTTAAACACGCCTTCTATATTGACTCGATTTCTAAATTGAGGTACTAAATCCTAACTGTTTAGACTAGTATTAGAATGATATAAAGTCAGTCAGCTGAAATTTGTTTACGTATACATACACATGTCTACTTCAAAGCTGGTGGCCAGTATTTCCAAGCATTGTTTTAAAATAGTTTCATTATAATTTAAAACAAAATGTTAATTTTTTCAGCTGCTACAATTTTTTTAAATATACATATAACGTTTTGCCATTTTGGTATTTATGTTGTCACAGGATTCGTGCAAATCGAAATAACAAATTGACTTAATTTTAAATCGATTTAAATTCAGATCAAGATAATCAATATAATGACAAATATCACGATAAAAGCTGTAGTCTAAACCCATCTATAGCATTAAGAGCATTATGAACTCTTTGTTCCGTAAAATGAACTGCCGGAACTATTTTCTGCTTATTGATTGATCTGGTTCAACTTGTCCCAGTCCAATTTAATGAAACCAATTACATAAAATTGTGAGTTCTTAGATCGAGTTCTTCACATGAGTAAATTTTGAAATTTACTGTAGTAGGGAACTCGACTAAAACGGCCTTCTCTATGAGGGTTTATTACATATATAATGGAATTGATAATTTGGATCTACTGAAATTACTTTAATGTGGCCAGAGACATTATAAAGTAAATGGCAATAAGATAACCTCCATAAGGAAATACACCTCTGAATTTATTTAAAGCGGGGTACACACTATCAGCTTTAAGTGACAATTTGGCCCAAATTCAGCCTCCGAATTCCATGGTATAATAATAGAAGGTAACAGCAAATGTTGTTGTACAACAAACGATACAACAACCACATGGAAATTTGTTGTTGTAAGTTTTACTAGTGTCAGTGTCTTTTGACAGAAAAATTTAAACAAACAAACTATATTTATTTTGAAAATGAAATATTTTTGAATCCTCACAATAAAATTTGAAAAACATGAATGAAAATCTATCAAATTTATATTTCTATCGCTTCCACATCTTTCCTATAATTAAACCATTGCCACTTATATGTGTAACACGTATGAAAATCCAGGGAATTGAAAGTTATTCCATAAAGAAAGATTTGCTTCCTCAAACTTTCCCAGTAGGCAGATTGAGTAAATTGAATACAGGAGCACATTTAATAAAAAACAATTTCAAATTGTATGCGTTCCCAATGTTCCTGTTGGGTTATTTTTAAAAACATAATTTGTCAAATTCATATTGACACTAGTATTACGTTGGAATCAAATCAGCTGGGATTTGCTGTTACCTTTTATAATTGTACCATGTCCGAATTCCTTTTTTTAACTTATTTTAAACGTTGAGCTTAAGTCATTATTTGGTGGAATATTCTTAAAGAGTTTCATACAAATATTTAAGCGACTTTATCGTCTGCCCACTGTTTTCATAACATGTTCATTGTCAATGCACCGCATACCAGCAGGGTTATCTGTAAACTTAATGCACTCCCCGTGATAAAACAAAGGTTTGAATATTTATTAAATTATTTTTTTTCCAAATGAATTTAAGAAAACAAAACTCTTTTAACCCATGAAATTTATTTCGCCCTATTTATTATGTTCGTGTATATTCTTAAATAACATTTTCCGTACTTTTTATTCTATTTTTACAGGAACTTAAGGAGAGCTTTAATTATGGTCTCTTTTGTCCACCTTCAAATGGCAAGGCGGGTAAATTCCTTGATGAGGAGCGACGTTTGGGTGACTATCCATTCAATGGCCCAGTGGGCTATTTGGAGGTAAGTCGGAAGACAATAAAAATAACTTATATAATAATTAAATCCCAATTTCTAGCTGAAATACAAACGTCGCGTTTACAAAATGTTAAATTTGGATGAGCGCCAATTGAAAGCTCTACATACCCGTGCCAATTTAAGACGTTTTTTAGAATGCATCAATGGTGGTCATGTGGAAAAAATCGCCAAAATGTGCGCCAAAGGGCTGGACCCTAACTTCCATTGTCCCGAGAGTGGTGAAACGCCACTAACAGTGGCCACCGGTGCTAAAAAACCAAATAAATTGTTGATCGCTTTGGTAAATGGTGGGGCACTGCTTGACTATCGTACCAAGGACGGGACAACGGCATTGCATAGGGCCGTGGAAAAAGATTCTTTGGAGGCAGTGACGTAAGTAGTTTCCCTCCTAAGATAAGAAATTGTTCAATTCAAATCAAATATTTTTGTAGTACTCTTTTGGAATTGGGAGCATCACCCAATTATAAAGATGCCCGTGGCATAACCCCATTATATATTTCCATAACACGCAAATGTGATTCGAAAATAACGGAAAGCCTATTGCATGATCATGCCACATTGGGTACGCAAGATAATCAGGGTTGGAATGAGGTCCATCAGGTAAGTATTGGCCCACAGCTGAGGGTATTACATTTTGTTTTTTGGTTTTTTCAAAAATACGAAACATGCTATGGATATTTTTTTTTCAAAAAGGAGCAGAGTGTATTGTTCAGGGGAATGAAATGCTTGGAAATTGTACCTTTTTTAATGACCTTAAATGTAGAAATTTGAATACAAATATTAAAACTATGTAGTTTTGTGCTAAAATTAAAAAAAATAAAATTATTTATTATATTATATTTTTAATTGGTTATTAATGGTGTTGGCCTTTTTTATTAAATATTTATTAATCATTTTATATTGATTGCAGCTATTATTGGCATCACAGATATCTGTCTCAAAACTATTACCTGTCGTCTTATTAAATATTCAGACACAAAGCTATAAAGAAAACCAAAAAAAGATCATGTAAACAAACAGCAGCTGATTGCTTTTTAAAATAATCTCAAAATCAGTAGTTGTGTTGTTTTAAACTGCAATAATATACAGTTTTTACTAGAAAACAATTTACTTATTCGGAAAAAAGTTATACAATTTTCCATTAAATTAGAAAACAAAGTATTTATGATTGCTAATTATTTAATTGGTAACACTATTTAGGGACATATAGATCGATTTCAGTGTAATTACATATGTAATAGGTAAATCCATGATGCAATAATAAGGTGATGTATCAAAACAAAAACATTTGTTTTTGTCTCGACCATCTGTCAAATTGCTCCTTATAATATTTCAAAAAATTTTAATTCCCCATGGATGTTGTAAAATGCACAATTTACTGCAAATTGCAATCAATATAAAATGATTAAAATCTTCTACAACCAAATAAAGATATCATACCCTTTTCAAAATGAATCCGTTCTACTTTTTACATATCTACTCTGGTACTCCTATTATCCTATCCATACTATTGTTTTGTATAACTAAAACCTAAAACATCAAATATAAAAATTAAAAATTCTAACCAGCAATATTTTACTTTTTTTTATTTTATGAAAATTTTCGGAACATTTTTTGTATGGGATTGAAAACAAAAATACACACTATGTTATTTATCCAACAAAAAAACTACTACTATACCTTCAAAAACACAAAATCGAAAACAAACTATCCAATATAATCCTATTACCTATACTACTACTACCAAATACTGCTACAACCTCTACTACATACTACCAGGCCTGTCGTCACGGTCTTGTCCAGCATTTGGAACATTTATTGTTTTATGGTGCGGACATGGATGGCCGTAATGCTTCCGGTAATACACCATTGCATGTATGCGCTGTTAACAATCAGGAGGCTTGTGCTAGAATGCTTCTGTTTCGTGGCGCCCAACGTGGTGCGCTAAATTATGCCAATCAAACTCCCTATCAGGTATTTACTACTATGCTCAACAAAAAAATTAAAATTGTTTCCTTGTAGTTTTTTTAGTTTCCTAGTTTTTATTTGTAGTTAAATTTTAAAAAATATTGGTTTAGTACATTTTCCCTATTGGTTTCCTATATTTTTTATTTTTGTCATAATTTGTAATTATTTAAAAAAGTGATTAGTTTTGGTATTTCTTAAATTTTGTATACAAATATTAATATTTACCTTTTATATGTCCTCCCGATGTTTGAAAAAAACTTTAGGTTGCTGTCATTGCCGGTAATTTGGAATTAGCCGAAATAATACAAAATTATAAATCAGAAGATGTTGGTAAGTCAAATACTTTATTTAAACATTTTTTACAAATTGTATTCTAAATTAAAATATAATAAAAAATCAATTCATCCATTTTTTAAAAATCATACCGTAAATTTCATTCAATCAAGAGAATTCATTGCAATTATTTTTGGTTTCAATTTCTTATAAATATTTTACAATAATTTTTTAATGGCTAGCACACTTTAAAGGTTGTAATTTTAAAAAATGAATCAGGATAAATTATTTTTAAATGTATAAATGCAACACTGTTGTCTTTTTAATAGGGATCAACAACTCGATATATGTACTCAAAAACAATTAACATTTTAATAACTTTTTTCTATTAAGTGTAATTTTTAGACAAATCGTTTTGGTTTCACCTTTGATTTGACTGCAATCTTAAGATACAGCTGATTTGGAAAATCAGCTGTATCTTCTGTTGAATTCTGCTGATGAATTCAGCTGATTTTCCTGGATGATCACATTAATATACAACTTTTAATGCGATAATTTAATTTATTTATGATATGAAAGAATTTAATTTATTTATGATATGAAAGAAAATATTAAAATCTAGTAAATTCCTGCAGTACAGGACCAGACCCATGATGCAATAATAAGGTGTTGTATCAAAACAAAAACATTTGTGTTTATCTCGACCATCTGTCAAATTTTTCCTTATAATATTTCATATGGGCGGCAACATTCCACATCAAATTCAAGTAGAAATTTCGCACTTTGACAGTTAATCAAGACATCTGCTGCGCCTACCTACCTATTTATTGTGCCATGAACAGACCAAATGTATATCATTGATATAAGCAATTTCCAACAGGACCTCTGTTGTTAATATCATAACAACAGAGAGAACAATATTAAACGTTTTAAATTTAAAATAAAGCTTATGTACATATTTTGATCAGACATTTTATTCACACATTTTCGCGTATTGACGTTTTTATTCTTAACATGCCTCTGTCAACTATTTACGGTTTCTATGTCTTTGCTTTCATATATTCACCCATTAAAGTGTGCCAATAGCCAATGTTTTCTATCAAATATTTACAATTAAATATTTTTAGAAAACATTTTATATTTTGTTTTATTATGTTTCCTAAAAATATTAAATTACCTTTAAAAAAAATCACATAAAAATCATAAAACATTGTCACATAAATATTTTTAATATTTTATACCTAATTTTACTCAATCTATAAAATTTATTTTATTATCATCATAATTTATGTTCGTTCTATAAAAGAATTAAATATCAAAACGAAAAGGAAATTTATTTTTTAAATCATCCTTTGAAGCATCCCATTCCGCAGCCTTTTTATTCACACATCTTGCAAACTCATTTCCTCTTTTCATAAATAACCCTTCCGAACTTTAAACAAATCATCAGCATTTTCAAAATCACATCACATTCTCATCACAATAATCTCACACAATGCGATGTTAAATAAATGTTAATATTGTTATGGCTCGAAATGTTTAAATATATTCGTTCGTTTGTTGTGTTACAAATTAGATTTTTTTAGGATTTTATTACTGTTTTATCTAGTTGTTAATGAAAATGTATTATCTACCCCTTTAAAAATGCATAACATATTCCTACTATGCAGTTTTTTATATTTCTTAATACACACCCATTAGATATTTTAGTTCAGTTTCACAAAACATATATTTATCCCTAAATAAATACGTCCAATATAAATTAAGTATATGCAGTCAAATAAATTAAATGGAACGTTTCGTAAAAACATATCAAATGTACAGATTTTTGATCTTGAATATTAAAAAAAAATTATAACCGCTCAAATCACTCCAATAAATTATTTGACATAAAACTATAGTAATTGACAATTTAAATTACTTTTTTAATACAGCATTTAGATATAGCCGTACTTTTTTTAACACATGGCTTCGTTTCATGTTCTTCTATCAGATATGCAATAATACTTCTATTTACCAAGGCCTATGAATAAGATCATCCAGGAAGATCAGTTGTCCTCAAGTTTGCTGTCAAAATCCGTTATTGTGAATGGACTTCACATTATAAAAATGTAAACAACGTTCAAATTGTTTGACAATAAATTGAGAAATAACAGTTGTTTTTCGCTTTCTATTTGAACTTTCTATTAAGCCCTTGATATGTTCGATACACTAAATTGAAAGTGAAGCCAAGTTAAATGATACAATAATAAGGTGATGTATCAAAACAAAAACATGTTTTTTTATCCCACCATTTGTCAAATTTTACCTTTTAATATTTCTCATGCACTTTGACAGTTAATCGGATAGTCAACTGCACTAAATGGAGTACCAGAATTAAATTATAAAAATGGTGTCACACGTTTTAAAAATAAATGTTTGCCAGTGTTGTATTTCCGACAAAAAAAACAAACACACTATTATTGCTATAATATATTAATTTTGGTTCTATTTAATTAAATTGACTGCTCTATACTTCATAAACACACAAATATTTATTCTCTTTCAATACATATTTCTTGTTTACTCTAAGTAGTGAGATTTCCTTTATTTGAACATTTGATTTGCTCTTTAAAAATACATTTAAGTGTGTTGTTGTTATTTGTTAAAAAAATTAACTGTACACAAAATAAAGGTAATGGTCCTTACAAACGCTAAGCTAATATAAACGTAAGTAAGACAATGCTAAACAAAACATAACACACCTGATTCATCCTTCGCATCAAATTGGAAAAAATAGATAAAAAAGAACTAATATAATAGCACGTTTAGACTACTTAATCCACTCGATATCAAATGTCAGTATCGTATACGTCACTTTAATCATGTTCACAAATCCAGTGGATTATATTTGACGTATACGCTATGGAATTGACATATGCAATTGAGTGGATTTCGTAAATCTAAACGTAGTTTAAAATTAGTTATAATTGATATTCCAAATTGGCCACCCAATGATCTGGACATTTATTAAAACCCACCTTAAATGATAAATTATTCATCCTTAATAATTTTCACATATTGGATATTTGTTGAAAGGATATGCATCAACAGACATATTATAATAACCTATATTTAGAAAAGTGTTACAAAATAATTATAGATTGAGTAAAAATTGTGAAAAACTTATAATATGAAACAAATTGAATAATACTAATAGAATTTATAATTTAAACAAAATAATAATCCTACTATAATATAACATTTACACTGAACAATATAGAATAGTGTTTATGTAGAGATTAGTTCAATTGAACTATTCATTGCAGTGAGCATGTGATCTAGTTCAGCAAAAGTAGTTGATTTAATAATTAACGATCGAGCGACTGAATTTTATATGGTCTGATCGCAGGATATACTAAAATTAACCCCTAAATGAGTGAAATATGGAGACATTAAACCAAATAATAAAGTGAATTTTAAATTTCCCAAGTAAGGACTAAAGAAATAAATATTCTTAATAATAGCAATCGATGTTGACGATTTGTATTTATTTCAGCCTTTCGGAAATCAAAATCATTTAAGATAATCTAAACATCTGGTATTGAAACTATAGGCGTTTTATTTAAACCAGAATTGATCCCAAAAATTTAAGTATATTCAGAATTTGCATTGATAATCGAAACTTTTCACTATGCGTACTTAATGACACGTTTAGATTATAAATGTCTCGAGTTCATTGCTAAATTAAATCCACTCATTTTCTCGATTTGCTCTATATCCTGTGCGTAATCGAAATAATTTCAAATACAACACTGTTTTTGCAACTAAATGTACCAATACGGCAACGTTTTAAATAATTAAAATTTTTAAAAACGTATAATAAACAATTAACTTTTTAAAACAAAACATATTTATATATTTATATGTCTAAACAACTAGTATTATTTTGTTTACAAAATATAACAAAACAGCTGACAAAATTTTCACAGTAAAAATTTGCAAATACTCAGTGACACAACTGTCAAATGTTATCGCTCAATTCGCTCTCTTTTACTGTACTTTTGCGTAAACGAACCATTTCTACAAATTCTTGAGTAAACGAACATACCTTATATATGTTACTATTCTATTACAAGATACTCGAAAGTGTTAAACAGTAGACAATCGATAAATAAAACTGAATGCCATTTACCATGATCTATTAATAATGTCACCCAGCTAACGATAGTCAGCTGTTTTTTCTCAAGTCTAAAGTCTTTCAAAATGGAACTCATTTAACAATAATGGATTTTGACAGAGAACTTGAGAAACAGCTGATATTTGGCTGGTCTTCCTGGATGACCATATTTATAGGCATTGGCATTAACGTTAGCTACTGTCTACTGTGCATTTTTCCCTATTGTAGGGATCTTTAATCGACGTTTAACTAAATAATATTGTAAGAAATTATATTTTTTTTATCAGTGTAAATGTTATAAAAAATAACTGCAATGAAATGTCTCTTCGAATTCAAACAGCTAACTGACTAACTAATTATCGACCAAAAAAAAAAATAAAACAAAAACCTTAACTAACTCTTTGTATAAAAAACATTCACTTATCTCAAAATAAAAACATTTCCTCCTCCTTTCCCCTGAATAAAAAATCAACATCACTCACCCACACACATCTACATTTAATCGTATAGTACCCTTTCGCGGACCACCACGTTACAATCCCAAACGTCGTTCCGGTATGGGTTGGCTCAGTGCCAATGGTAGCATTGGCGGTGGTAGTAGCCTAATGGGTACATTGACACGCAACAGCAGTACATGTGGTCATCATGGACCACCATCACCGTGTCCATCTGAGCATTTGCCATATAGTTCAGCCAGTTCGAGTTTATCCGAAGGTTCATCCGGTCATCGTTCTCATGAGGATGATATCAGCATTGTAACAGGTATTTTTTTAAATGATTTTTTTTTTATTTTTGTATATTTAATTTTATGATTATGTTTTATATTTATTATTGATTTAATTTGTATATTGATTAAACATGTTTAAAAATTTTTGGGTAAATAAATGTGTATCCTCCATTCTAAATCAAGAGGTAAAACATGTATTAAAGCATGTTTACATGTTAGCATTTTACAAAAAAAAATGGTTGTGTTCCCGTAATGATATGTGTGTTCGAAACATTTTTTAGAAAATCGGATTATAAAAGGGGTAAGGTTACGTTTAGACTAGGGATAAGTAAACGACTTCCGATTAATCGACTTTTTGTATAGAAAAGTTTAAAAGTCGAAGTCGACTTTTTAGTCAAATGCAAAAATCGAAAAGTCTAAAAAACGACTTTTTGGTCAGAGGCAAAAATCGAAAAGTCTAAAAGTCGACTTTTACTTTCAACTACGTATCCCTAGTTAAGACTACTAAATCCACTCGATCTCAAACGTCAATTCCATTTCTTGGATTATATTTGATATATACGCTATGGAATTGATCGAGTGGATTTCGTAAAGCTAAACATGCAGTTTGATATTTATAACCAATGGAGAACAATTCCTATTAGAATTATGAAAATGTTGATTGAAATTAGGGATAGGTAAATCGACTTTCGACTAATCGGTTTCGACTTTATTACTTGAAAAGTCTAAAAATTGAATACTTTTGATCTTTGGAAACCTCGCAATTTCAACATTTCAAGATTGATTTTCAATTTTCTTCATAGTTATTTCAAATCACAAAGCCCAAAGCCCAAATAATCCAAAATTACTCATTCCAGAACTGTTAGTCGATTTTGAACAGATTTAAAAAGGCGAAAGATCGAAAAGTAGACTTTTCAGTCAAAATAAAAAATCGAAAAGTCTAAAAATCGATTTTTTGGTCAGAGGTCTAAAAGTCGACTTTTGTCATCGACTATGTGAAACCAGTGCAATGTCTCTGTATACGTAAACAAAGAACAGCTGACTGGTAAATTTATATCATTTGAATACTAGTTTAAAGGGCTAGGATTTTGAACCTCGATTTAGAAGGAATAGTCTAAATGTGCCCTTTTATTGCGAGAAAAACATGTCAATTTCATAGCGTATACGTCAAATATAATCCACTGGATTTGTGAACATTATTCACGTGACGTATACGCAATGGAATTGACGTCTAAACGCGCTCTAATTCTTGGTTAGTAGTTGTATAGATGTAGAGTATATTCCATGTAGAAATGTGAGAAGCATTCGACTTGTTTTATAATGTAATTTCTAATGGATTTGATGAATGGAGGATATATTAGCCGATAAGAGGACATTTTTAATTTTAGTTTAATTAAATATAGTTTAAATTTAATTTAAGTGACGAATAGAACATACATAAATATTTACTTAAAGTCAAAACCATAACATCAAACAGATAAGTATTTTCAAAAAAAGCAATATCAAAAAAACTATTTTTTATATTTGATCAAAGAGGAAAATGTCCATTATCCTAAATGGACAATTGCATGTTCTAGCACTTTTCTGCCAATATAGTTTTTTTCGTTCGAATTTAATATCAAACATTCTAGTTTTTGTCTTTCTATTTTCAGTTTATAGACAAATTGCATGTTTACATTTCTTAATTGTTACCATAAAATCTACAAACAGAACGAAAATACTTACAAACGAAGAAGTTTATATTCAGCTTTTCATTCGTCATGCATTTTCTTTCCATATATTCTTCTTGTTTTTTTTTTTTTCTTTTCTTTTATTTTTTCTTTCATACACATATGTCTTCTGTGACGTTGCAAATTGTCTTAATTCATATAAAAACATTCCATACAAAAAATACATACATACGTACAGTCAAACTTGGTTAGTATAACATACCTATTAAACCCATATATATATATTTTAAATCAAATAGAAGAGACTAGGAATTATATATCCTTTATTACCACATTTGACTGTATATCCTTATTTTATATTGCATGCATGTAATCATATATGCCAAACAACAAACAACCTTACACTAAATACAAGAAATCTGTTCTACATTTGGATTTGAGCCAATATTTAATATTGTCTTCTGTAAACGTGTGCGAAAGATATTAAATTAAGGAGTGGACTTTAAGCACATATATACAAATATCTTAGAAATAAAATTAGTATAAAATATACATATTTATTGTTAAATATAAATAATATCGAATAATATATATAGTTCACAACGTGATACAATAATAAGGTGATGTATCAAAACAAAAACATCTAGTTTTTATTCGACCATCTGTCAAATTGTATCTAGTAATATTGCTCATTGTTGGCAAAATTGTCCGTCGAATTCAATTAGAATCCATGCTCTTTGACAGTTAATCAGATATTCAGCAGATCTAAATGGAATACCTATTTATTGTACCATGATTCAAAGTACTAATGACACATTTACATCGAACTTTTCATTGTTTTATGATAAATCATAACTTAATGCTTTATCTACCTCAATTTATGATACGATTTGCTCGAAATCGTATGTTAAATCGATATGATTTCAAATACAACCCTCCGTTTGCACTAAAAAATGCATCACTTCTCCTAAAAGTACCAAAATGGCAATGCTTTTCAATTCCAAATACATGGTAAACAAAAATATTTCAGAAATTGGAATTTTTAAAATTTATAATGAATATTACTATAAATTAAAACAAAATTGAGAAGCAGCTGATAACCAGCTGGTCTACTTGGATGACCTTTTTAATAGGTATAAGTAGCATCAGCTGACTTTATAACCAGATGTTTTCTAGATAGATTAAAAAAAATCCATATTTGGAACAAAATTTTGAATCGATTTAGCATTGCAGATCAGATTACATAATCAAAAGACTAAAATTAATTTTTAATATTATATTTTTGTTTTGAATTGTTCAACAATTCTCAAATGGGAATCTTTAATTTTGTAGGTGTCTCGTCTATTATATCTACATGATTTTACTAGAAACTGTTACATTTACTTCTCGCAATATTTCCCATATGAGTGTTAACTCTCTCTGCGGAAGTTACTCAGTAATTCTTTTTTATCTCTTTAAAAAATGGAGACAGTTCCTCCTCCAGCTAATTCACTTTCTAATTGAATAGAAACTATAAGACCATAAACCATATGCGCGAGATAAACAAAGATTTTCTTATATTTTACGTTAGTTCGATAATAAAACACGTGGCAAGTTAAGCGAAAGCTCAACACAGCGCCATTTTGTACTTTTTTTAAGCCCGTAGGCGTGATTGACTCTTTAAATGCATCTTTCTTGTAAGCTGTCTACTCAGTAATTCTTATTGGAATAGTAAACGAACACACCTATTATTAGTCGACTTATCAAATTGACAGACCAAAGGGTTATATAGTTAGCATTTTAACTATTTCCGTTAAAGAAATCACTGAAGGGAGCAAATGAACTAGTACAATGATTTTTTTACAGTTATCAATGAAATGGAATTTTAGAAATGTTATAGAACGACTATGAATTATTAAATATGTTTAGGGACTATGTGATTCTTACCATTATATGTATTAATTAAATCCCTTAAATGTATTGGACTTTAGGCTTATATTTGTCAAAGAATATTATTGAAAGTCTACTATAATGCCATGTACAGACCGCCGTCGTTCGCTCTCTCATTCGTTGTTCGATCCTTAATTATGAAGTAATTACTTAGTTCCCCATACAAAATTGTCTGAGCGAACACCGACTTTTGTACGTTGTTCAATTTGAATCACTCTCCGAATAACCAAGAAATTTGTCCCATCCCTAACAATTGAGAGAATTTATCGAAAATAAATTAATTTTGACAGCATGAAAATATTTTTAAAATTTTCAAACTTTTTCAGTGAAATTGAAAATGGTGAATGAAAAGTATAAAATTTTCTAGTTTTTATATATGCAGAAGGAAGTAAATTTTGTAATCTACATAATGCAATATGTATTTCTTTCCCTTTGGTTCTAATTAGCGTACAAAACGAGAATCCAATATGGGGAAACCCAAACAAAAAAATTCTCCAATTTTTTTATGTGACATTTGAATTGAGAAAAAATGAAAATATACTCAAAACAACAATACTTTCAGAAAAAATGGAAAACATGAATTAAAAGTAAATAGATATGGGTTCATACAATAGTCAGGAGAAAGAGAATTATTTTTTCTATTTAGATCCATATAGGATTCACGCAAATATGTTACAATTTTGGTGTAAAACTAGAAACAAAAAGTTTGAAATAAAAAACTCTGATGACATGAATTAAGAATAGTATTGTATGAACGGGTTAATTCATGTACATAATTCTGAGAGCGAACTACGTTGTTCGAATGCCCGTCAGAACATGGCATACTTTTTATTAAGGAGTAGCTACTCAAGTCTAGGGGATTTAATATGGGTATTTGAGCTCTGATTTATAATCCGTGGTTTATTTAAGGTATTTTAAAGGATTTCAGTAGTACATATTTTTCTATTAAACCATTTCCGATCATATACGAATATTTTCCATGAAAGTATAATCCTGATTTTTATGGACATTTTCAATGTAATTAAATTATTCAAACAGCATTATTATTAAAACTATCAGAGTAGATTTTCTGAATACTTTTGAATATTACAACATCATTCCGTAATATTAGGAATATCTCCTTAAGGTCTTTCACTCGGAGAGTCAATACATTTTTGTCTATAAACCTCGATATTAAATATGTGTGTCCTCACATCCTAAATTTTGATATATTTTCCAAATTAACCTGTTTTAACTGCATACAGAATAATTCAAGAAACGTGCCACCTTTTCTATCAATAAGGAAACATATATCCAAAACCTAGATTTGCATTAACCTAACCACTCTCCCCCCTCCTCTACTGTCTTCTCTCCACACACAGATAAATCATTGGGCGATACCAGCGACATTATTAGCGATTCTTCCGGCGTTGGTACCAATTCCGATTCTGCAGCCTGCTCAATTGGTCACCCTAGCACAACGGTGGTTTGCATGGAACCCTATGCTGGCAATTCAGTTGGTCATATACGCCTGCAGGTTGGCGATGTTATTGAAGTTGTGGGTTCCACCGATTGTGGTCTGTTGGAGGGCTATGTTCGTGGTACCAATCAGTCGGGTTTCTTTCCAGCTGAATGTGTACAAGAGGTTAATTTACGGCAAAAGAATATAACCAATGTTGCTACAGCGAATCCAAATCACTCGCCCTATCAACATTCGCCAGCAGCATCGTCTGTTCACCAGGGTTCACCACAATTGAGTCTGGGTGGCAGTTCAGGAATTGGTGGTATGAGTAGTACGGGCGGTACGCTGCCACGTCCCTCGCTAATACATCAATCGCCATCGTTGTCGGTGAATAGTAATGGTTCGACACATGCTTTGAATGGTGGTGGCGGTGGTGGATCCACTGAGAATTACGGGTCAATGAAATTGACAGGAAATGGAAATATTGCCGGTCAGCAACAACAAAATCAGCAATACAGCAGTGCTACAGCACCCAGAGTCAAGAAAAAGTAAGTATAGGAAATTTGATATTTGTTTAAGGTCTGAGTATTAATTTTTATGTTTCCTGCAGTGCTTTCAACGAACCCCGGACTGTGGTCTTGCACAGAGCCAAGCGTGGTTTCGGTTTTATTTTGCGCGGTGCCAAAGCTTCTTCCCAACTTATGCAATTGAAGCCATCTGATCGCTTTCCAGCTCTCCAATATCTGGACGATGTTGACCCAGGAGGTGTGGCCGACATGGCTGGCCTAAAACCAGGTGATTTTCTCTTGGCCATCAATGGAGAAGATGTTCGAGCTGCATCCCACGAGAAAGTAGTTGAAATGATAAGATCAGCCGGAGCTTTGGTCTCGATGACGGTTATATCGCCACAATTCCCTAATCAAATGCAAGCCACTCCACAATATATGCCCAGTCATCATTTGTCATCGGGTCCCAGCACTCCGCAAACCTCGCATCGACAGTGTGCTACTTTGCCACGTAAAATGTCGTTGGGGCCAAATGCTGCTGCTGCCGCGGCAGAACGCCAGGGAAGACCTGCACCGTTGCCACCACGCAGAGATCCTAAAACCACATTGTCAGTGGGCCGAGCTAGAGCTAAGTCAATGGTGGCCGGTTTGGAGAATGGCGGCGAGAAAGAAGACGATGATATCCATCACACGAAGTCATCTTCAGTGGAATCGATTGTGACACCGACACCCACACATCCTGGCACCCCGGTGCAATTACGCACCGCCAGCATTAAGGCCAGGCCCACATCGAGTCGCATTACAGCCGCCGAACTTGAGGAACTGTTCCAACGTCAACAGGGCGAAGCTGTTGACAGTGCAAATCGTTACTCCACCATGATGACCACTTCACGTTTCCAATCGGGTACAGACAGTGGAGCCGCCACACCACCAGCCAATACCAATTCCCCCCTTAAGGGTCCCATGGTGTATGGCAGCGTGGCAGAGATGAAGCGTAAAACCAAATCCAAAAATGGCACATTACGTGGCAAGCCATGTGCCATACCAACAGTGGGCGCTGGAAGCCGTGATCTGAAAAGATTCCATTCGACACCAGATCTTAATATTAATGCCGGTGGTTCGTCTTCTTCGATCTGGACAGCTGGAGTGGCCAAGGGTCATTTGTCGCAAGACGATGTGGCCACACTACATGCCTCGATGTTACGCCTGAATGCATTGCCGCCACCAAATCATCCACCACCACCGCCACCCGTAGTGGGTCAGGTGGTAAAGGTGGAGACACGACAAAGTTCGGAATATGAAAGTACTCTGTCACTGCAGCAGAAACTAAAGAAACGTGTTGAAAATGATGCCGTAACTGCGGCCGCAGTTGATGGTATTCAATCGAGTTTTAAACCTTCGGCAAGTGCAAAGATCTATGCTTCACCACAGGAGTTAATCGCATGGAAGTTAAGGCAAACTCAAGAGGTATGTGTGTGGGTTTTTTACGTTTGAAGTTCTTAAAATAATAATTAATTCTCTCTCTCTCTCTTTCCATTGCAGAATCGCCAACAGAACAGCAATCAACAACAAAACTCGAATCAATCTGGTATTTATGCACCAACAAATGTTGCTGTCCCAGCCGTATCCCAACAGCAAGCACAAATTAGTCAATATGCTCAACCAACGGCATTGGCGCAAGCCTCTGCAGCCGGCGCCAGCACAACCTCTTCTTCTAATGTCACAGTCACCACCACCAATAACACCTCAACGCATTATGCCGCTCCACCCAGCCAAAATGGTGGCATAATTCACAATCAAGTCAATAACAACAACAACAATAATAGTATTGTGGCAAATCTACCGACTGGACCTGCACCACCGATACCCGAACCCGACTATAGTCTCAGTGAATCGGATGGTGAGGATGAAAATTCAATTTTGGTAGCCCGAAATACGAAGCTAAATGAGAAGATTGCTCTCATTGATGTACCCGAAACAAGTGGAAATAGTCAAGCAAGGTAAGGAGGATGGGAGATAGAGAGAGGCCCAATTTGATTATTTTAATTGTAAAATATATTTTGTTTCATCTTCTTTCCAGTGGCAGCAGTTCAGCATCTGGTTCTGCATCCATTTCACATTCCCTATCCGTGGAGGAGATACAACGTATTCGCAGTAATTTGAAACAATCCAAATCGTCGCCAAATGGATTTGATAAAAACGATGAGAATCAGCCAGCCTCCGCCAATGAAACAAATCAGCAACAGCAACAGCAACAACAGCCGCAACCAGCAGCACCAGCTACAGCCAAAAATGATAATGATGTTGAAAACCTCAACAACAACAATAATAATAATAACGAAGAAGAAGGAGATAGTAATAGTTCATCGGGTGTTAGCAGTGATCAAGAAGTATTGGCGGCTGGGGCCTTGGCCCATATTGGACCCAAATCAACCGATACCATTAAGAAAAAACCCACGGTCACAATCAATGAAGAGGCCAAAACAATACCCGATACAACAAATAAGGAAAAGGATGAAGTGGACTCCTCCGCCAAACTGCCAAAAACAACTGCAACACCAGCAGTTGCAACCGCAACCACCACAGCAACAATTACTGCTGCGGCTACCCCCGCCACGGCAACCACAACAAGTGCAGCTGTACCAAAAACGCCACCACCCACACAAAGTAAACCCAGCAACATGCAACAGTTGGAGAAGACTGCAAAATCGACACCACCGCTACAACACAAAACACTACAACCTGTGGCAATAACCACAGCTGCCAGCATCGATAAGCTACCGACAAGCAGCGGCATCAGCGTCAGCCTGACAAGCAGTAACGCCGCCACCACCACCGCTATTTCAACAACAAATGTGGCCAATGCCAAGGCCGCCTTTGAGGCCAAGGCCATTACCTCGTCCCACGTTCCTGTTTCAGCTACACCAAACATTCCAACCACGGTCACCGTTAAACAAATGGTTCAGCAACAGCACGCCCCAGTCATACAGCAACAACAACAGCAAATGTCCGCAACCAAAGTCAAAACCATTGTCGTTCAGAGTCAACAGGTGGCGGCCAAAAGTCAAGCCTCGGTGGCTGGACGTTTAGCTCAACCCCATATGAATCCCAATCAAAAGCTGTTGGCCACACAGCAACAAATTCTCCTGCAACAACAACAGCAACAACAACAAATGGCCCATCAACAACATTTACAGCAGATCCTCAAGGCGAAGGCGGCAGCCGCTGGAGCGGCAGCCAATACGGCGGCCATTGTTGCCAAACAGCAACAACAAATGGCCAAACAATCCAGTATACTCTCCTCGCAAGAGTCCCAAGAGGAACAGCGTTCCGATGATGATGGTGAATTGAGTCCTTCGCCGCCGGCCAAGGCCTTCCAAAGACACAATTCGCTAACACGCAAACAGGCGGCCGCTATTGCTATGCAACGTGCCACCCGGTCGGCGGCCGTTTCGCTGGTTCAGTTGCCACCACCCATTGAGGCCGATAGTGATTCTGAAATGTCGATGACCATGTCGAATTCAAAATCTACCATTGTTGGTGGCAGTGCTGTCGCGTCTGCGGTGTCACGTCCCGAACCGGACGGTGGCCTGGTAACAGAGAATATTGTGCTGGCACCACCGCCGCAATTTTGCGATTGCAATGACATTAAGCACACAGCACCGCAGATGCAGCAACCACTGCCGCAACAACAGCCTCCACCCCAACAGCAACCACAGCAGCAACATCCACAACACCACCAGCAACAGCAGCAGCAACAACAACAGCATATGTTATTGCAGCTGCAACAACAGCAACGCTTACACTTGGCACAGCAACAACAACAGCAGCAGCAACAGCAGCAACAATTACAATACCAACAATATCAACAGCATTTGCAGCAACAACATCAGCACCATCAACAACAGTTGGCTGCCATGCAGCAGCAGCTGCAAATGCACCCGCACATGATGTCGTCCATGCATCATCATGTGGTGGCGGCACAAAATGCTGGTAATGTTGCTACTGCTGCTCCTGCTGCCGCCGGTGCCGGCAATATGGGCACACTGGGTCGTGTACGTATTGTCGGGACTCCCAAGAGCAATAATCATCATCGTTTGCATTAAAAGGTGAAAAAGAAAAGCAAAATACTGTGTCGTTTTTTCTATTTATTAATTGGTTTCAAATTTGAACATTTGTGTACGCGTTACATTTAATTCGATTGGCTTAAGTGATGGCCAAATAATTTATGTTGTTTATTATTATTATATTATTATGTTGTATGTATTAATGTTTTATATACCATATATCTGTATGTGTGCGTGCGTATTTTATGAAGAAAAGAAAGAAAAAAGTTATCGAAATATCTTAAATATACTTATTAAAAAAAATCATGTTTTGAAAATTTTCTATATTTTTACTGCTCTGTGAATGGTGTATAATTTATTTAAATTATTAAGCGCCAGATATTTTAGAGCTATCATTCCATTCAAGGTTAATTTTCCCTATTTGAGAATGTTAACCAGTATTAAAAATTATTTTCCTACACAGAAACAATTTCCGTTTCCTTATTGGAAGCATTTCATTCAAATTAACTTGGCATCACTTTTCAAGCCAACTACCTCAAAGTTGGCAACGACGGCGTCATCAGTTGATCTGTTGTGCAATAAGCTGTCAAAAGAAATTTTTAGTTTAAAACAAACTAAAAAAGTTGTAAAACTGATCAAATTTATAAAGGGAATTAAGGGGAATACACATAAGTGGGCTTGAGGATTGTCATGTTAAGTTGGCTTCTTTTATTGTAAAAGAATAAAGGAGAGCGACGTCCAGATTCAAGTTTGGCTCTGATATTCTTTTATATTGACATTTCATACAAAGCAAACTTATCATTCCAGGTCTGAATCCTTGTATGTGTTTCCCCCTTTAATAATAGATGCATAGAAGTTTCTTATCGATTCTGGAACAGAGCAATAACTATGAACGAAAATCTGTTTTTCACTTTCATCAAAAGTCAATTTAAAAATCCCTAATTATTACCGAGCATGACATTGACATTTTAATTACAAAGAAAATTACGTTTTAATGAGTCGTTTTATAAAAACATGTAGTCTAATGTGCACTAAATTTCACTTTTTATGAGGTTTTATTTGACAAATATGTAATGGAATTGACATTAAAAACCCAATGCGTTAACTAAATCAGGTACAATGTAAACGTACTATAATGCTATATTTACATTGAACGGGTTTTAAAATAATTCATCAGTTGTGTGTCAATTAAATCACATAGCCATATATATTTTGAACAAATGATGCTTTGCAGAAAATGAGTTCGAAGTAAATGTAATTGAATAACAATGAAGAATTTTACAAATTTCTCCTTTTATTAAAATAATTCAATGTAAACATTGTTATATACCATCGGAAAAAGGTTTCCAACATACCATTCGTAATAAATGGCGACGAAAGTGATTTCGACTTTCGGGTCGAAAATAATTTATAATAAATATCAAATTTCTGCGAATGTAATGACATTTCCATGGCTTAAAGCGAATTTACATATAACATCTAATAATGATTAAAAGATGAATCAGGGTTTATTTTCTTAAAACAACTTTAATTTCTTTAAAATTTAAATCATTGTGCGACAAGGTTTATTTTAAATCATGATAAATCAGTGGATTGAAACTGTCTATTACATTGCTTATATGCCAAAAAATAAATCTCTCATAAAGGATGTTTTTACATGCCGTTTGTTTTAAAAAACGTTATAAATACTAAAATGCATTAAAAAAAAACATTTCCATTGTGGTAATTCTTCTATTTTCTTTTCAAAAATTTTCTTTTTCAAAATATTTTTGGCGCAAAATAATAATTTTGTCAATATCCATGGCATTTAGATCATGATTAATGGTATGTGTAAACACTCGATTTGTGAACAGGATTAAGGTGACGTATACGCTATAGAATTGATATTGAGATCGAGTGGATTTTTGTAAATATAAACGCACTTTTATCTTTCATTAATTTTTAATATTTCTATTTTGTGCGTTAAGCCCAGTTATCAATTACTGATTATCGAACAACCATAAAATAAAGGGCAACATTATCAACCATGCAAATATTTGGGTCAAACTGTCATTCAAAACCAGTAGTTAGTACAACGTTTTAGACTATGTTTACATCAAAATATGCCACATATTCGGAAATAAATAAACCTGAAAAAGGCGCCATTTACTAAATCAATGCCCTTGATTATACGTCAAATAAGTGACGTATGTAATTAATAATTAAGCTGTCAATGCGTAGGGCGTTAAAGGGATATAATATTTTCGATAAGTACAATAATTGCATCATTTGTTTCTTACAGTTAATCAATTATAGGTGTGGATATCAGCTGCCTCGCAAGTTTTCTGTCAAAAATTCATTATTGTGAATTAACTTCCATTACGAAAACGTAAACAAAGCCAAATTTTTTGGCATTAGACTTGACTCCCAGCTGACTTTCGCTAGCTGGGAGACCTTCTTAATAGATCATGTTTCAAATTGCAAAGATAAAAAAATTCTTACAACTGATCAACTATGGGTCGGTTCCCGAACATTAATACTTAAATAAACATTTCAAATATAAATGTAAAAAATCGACAAAAGTAAGATACTCGTAGGGCATATAAATGTATATCCGATAATTATGATATTTCTTTAACTTTTTTCAAAAAAGGTAGCGCACATTTCAATTTTTATAAAAATAAATTTGTTGTCCATGTACACAACTAAAAAGAAGAAGAATGTTTGGTTTTACATTGTAAACATTTAAAAAAATCTTTCAAAAATAAAAATACACACAAATTACAATTGAAACACGTTTTTTAAGATATTCGAAATAAATAATAAAAAAATTCAATAGTGACATAAATATGTTAATTATAACAAAACAAACAAAAATTAAATAAATAAGAGACAGAAATTTAAGGTAAATACTAATATGTTTAAAAAAAGTGAAAACTAACAAATTAAGGAACATAGAAAACTAATTTTACACGGAGTGGAAACTGAACACACGAGAAACATGGCTAAATGTAAACATGGCAGAATTAGTACAATTCTAATAAGAAAAATAAATAAATTTACGAATGAAAATGAAGAATTCATTTTTTTGATTTTTTCTTACACAATTTAATATAATTATATTACACATGCGTACATATATAAAAACCCTATGATAACACAATTTTGTTTCACATTAATTGATGAATTTTTATTATTATTTTTATTATTATTTTTTTAAGAATTCCTTTTAAATTTAATTTTTTTTTTTCTTTTAATATCTTTGTTTTAATTCTAATCTGTTTTCCTAAATAAATTTAGTTTCTGTTTAATAAAAAATGAAAAAAATACAATTTTTAATATATATTATATTTTTTTGCTAATTATGTGTGATATATATTTTAAAATTCTATATAATAATAAAAACAAATGTTTTAATAATAAACGAAAAAGAAAACAACTAAAAAATTATATAATTTGTATTTCTTACAAACGAAAAAAATGATGAAATGTTTTGTTTTTCTTTGAATGGTAAGCTAATGATAACACTGTGCTACAAAATGTTTACATATATTTTTAAACAAATGTTGTTTAAATTACAACAATTACTAATACAATTGAAAGCATGATATAAACGCTTTATTGGATATTTAATTAACGAAATTGTGGATTATGACATTTCAAATGCAACACTGCCTTTACACCAAAAAAATAATCACTTTTCCTAAAAGTATGCTACGAAATACTTTAATATTCAAAATAGTTGCCTAATCAACATGTGACAGCTGATGAAAATCTGACAAAATGTTAATTTTGTAATGAGTATAATTAATGTAATATTATTGTTAATGAAAAAAATATGTTTTTATCCATTTTTGACCTAATGAAGAGCAATGCCTATCTGTAGTTGAAAAACAGCCATAGAACAGAAAGCAATGAATTGTGTATGTATACGTAAACAAATAACCCAACATCTAGGATTTGATACCTCAATTAACAAATCGAGTTGATTTAGAAGGCATAGTCTAAACAAGCATTTTAATTTGTCAAATTCATATTGACACTAGTATTACGTTGGGATCAAATCAGCTGGGATTTGCTGTTACCTTTTATAATTGTACCATGTGGATTATATTTAAAAATATAATAGTACGTTTACATTTAACCGGATTTCGTTAATTGTCAATTCCTTTGCATATATGTCAAATAAATCCTCATAAAGTAGGTTAACCCGGTAAAAATATCTAATGTATATGCCCTTTAAACTATGGAATTGGCATTTGATATCGATTGGATTTCGTAAATCTGTACTACGGCACAATAAATAGGTAGTCCATTTACTACTTGAATTCGATGTGCAATGTTGGCAACCATGTGAAATATTAGAAGGAAAAATTTGACAGCTGGCCGATACCAAAACAAAGGTTTTTGTTTTAATACATAACCTTATTATTGCATAATAATCTGAACGTACTTATAGTTTGTTTAAAATATACATTTGAATAAATTATCGAATATGCAGCTGGTATATTGTTGTTAGGCAACTTTTTTTGAATTTTAACATATCTTGAAGCATAAAGCGTTGAGTTTTTTGGTTCTATTAGGAGAAGTGATGCATTTTTTTTTTTGAGCAAAATTTGGAGCAAAGTCAGGGTTGTATGGATGTGGATTTAACTTTGTATGGTAAATTGAGTGTAATTCAGATTGATTTAGCAATTAATAAATATTAATTATCAAAATAAATGCTATAGTCTAAACACACCTTTATTTTATGGATTGATTATCTAAATGATATATTTTATTAAGAGAGTTATTTTTCATAAAATTTCTTTGGTATTTTTATTAAATTTTTTTAGCACAGTGTTAATTTTAAAATTTTCTAAATAATAATAATAAAAATTGTAAATAAAATATTTTAATGCCAAACATAAAATTAAATTGGGTATGTTGATTATTTCTTAATAAAGTATTCTGATTTTTCACAAAAAATCAAAACACAATACATATATAATTGTAATTATAAAAACATACAAATGACATAGTTAAAAAAAAAACATTTTTTATCCATCCATTCAATTGTT